ATTTAAACAAATCTTGACACCCGAAACAAAGTATCAACCACATCCTCACACATCTAACACAGTATCAACCACATCCTAATACACAGATCACCGTATTAACCACACTTTGACACACGAAACACAGAATCAACCGCACACGGAACACACCATCAGCCACATCCTGACGCGTGGAACACAGTATCAACCATATTCTGGCACACAGAACACAATATTAACCACATCCTGCCACACAGAACACAGTCTCAACCACATCCTGATGCACAGAACACAGTATCAACCACATTCTGACACAGAATACAGTCTCAACCACATCCTGACACACAGAACACAGTCTCAATCACACCCTGACACACAGAACACAGTCTCAACCACATCCTGACACACAGAACACAGTCTCAACCACATCCTGACACACAGAACACAGTCTCAATCACACCCTGACACACAGAACACAGTCTCAACCACATCCTGACACACAGAACACAGTCTCAACCACATCCTGACACACAGAACACATTATGAACCACATCCTGACATACAGAACACAGTCTCAACCACATCCTGACACACAGAACACAGTCTCAATCACATCCTGACACACAGAACACAGTCTCAATCACACCTTGACACACAGAACACAGTATAAACCACATCCTGACACCCGAAACACAGTTCTACAAACCTTGACACACGGAACACAGTGTCAACCAAAAACATTTTTAAACACAGAACACATTATCGACAACATCCTGACACACAGAACACATTGTCAACCACATCCCGAGATATGGAACACATTATCAACCACATCCTGACACACGGAACACAGTATCAACCACATCCTGACACATGGAACACAGTATCAACCACGACCGGACAGATGGAACACAGTATTAAAACAAATCTTGACACCCGAAACAAAGTATCAACCACATCCTGACACACAGAACACAGTATCAACCACACCTGATTGTTACCATCCACATCCTGAAACACAGAATACAGTATTTACCACAACCTGACAGATGGAACAGTTTTTTAACAAATCTTGACACCCGAAACACAGTATCAACCAAATCCTGACACATGAAACACAGTATCAACCAAATCCTGACACACGAAACACAGTATAAACCACATCCTGACACACGGAACACAGTTTCAACCAAAAACATTTTTACACACAGAACACATTATAAACCACACCGTGTCACATGTAACACAGTCTCAACCACATCCTGACACACAGAACACAGTCTCAACCACATCCTGGCACACCGAACACAGTCTCAACCACATTCTGACACACAGAACACATTATCGACCACATCCTGACACACAGAACACAGTCTCAACCACATCCTAACACACAGAACACAGTCTCAACCACATCCTGACACACAGAACACAGTCTCAACCACATCTTGACACACAGAACACATTATCAAACACATCCTGACACACAGAACACAGTCTCAACCACATCCTGACACACAGAACACAGTCTCAACCAAATCCTGAAACCCGAAACACAGTTCTAATAAACCTGACACACGGAACACAGTATCAACCACATCCTGACACATGGAACACAGTATCAACCCCGACCGGACAGATGGAACACAGTTTTTTAACAAATCTTGACACCCGAAACACAGTATCAACCAAATCCTGACACACGAAAAATAGAATCAACCACACCTTGATACACGGAACACATTATCAACCACATACTGACATGGAACACAGTATCAACCATATTCTGATTGTAGTACGAACCACATCCTGACACAGAATACAGTCTCAACCACATCCTGACACACAGAACACAGTCTCAACCACATCCTGACACACAGAACACAGTCTCAACCACATCCTGACACAGAATACAGTCTCAACCACATTCTGACACACAGAACACAGTATCAACCACATCCTGACACACAGAACACATTATCAACCACATCCTGACACACAGAACACAGTCTCAACCACATCCTGACACACAGAACACAGTCTCAACCACATCCTGACACATAGAACACATTATCAACCACATCCTGACACACAGAACACAGTCTCAACCACATCTTGACACACAGAACACAGTCTCAACCACATTCTGGCACACAGAACACAGTATAAACCACATCCTGACACCCGAAACACAGTTCTAACAAACCTTGACACACGAAACACAGTATCAACGACACCCTGACACACGGAACACAGTGTCAACCAAAAACATTTTTACACACAGAACACATTATCGACAACATCCTGACACACAGAACACATTATCAAACACATCCTGAAATATGGAACACATTATCAACCACATCCTGACACACAAAACACATTATCAACCACATCCTGACACACAAAACACATCATCAACCACATTCTTACACAAAGAACCAGGGGCGTACGCAGGGGGGGGGGGGGTTGGGGGTTCAAACCCCCCCCCCCCTTTGGTATTTCAATGTATGTAAACCCCCCTAAAAAAAACCTAAAACCCCCCCCCCCCCTTTGGCTTTTTTTTTTTTTTTTTTTTATTATAAAAAAAAAAAAAATTATACCCACGGCTAACCTAAATAAGGTGACCTTACCGCCCCCCCCCCCCAACGAAAAAAAAATGTCAAATTTTGAAATTTTGAGACCAAAAAAAAAAAAAAGTGTCCGCTTGCCTATTTTAAAACCCCCCCCCCTTGAAAAAATCCTGCGTACGCCCCTGCAAAGAACACATTATCAACCACATCCATACACACGAAGCGCAATATCAACCACATCCTGAGACATGGAACACATTATGAACCCAATCCTAAGACATAAAACACACCTACCCGCACTAGCATCTACAATGTGACCTTAACGTTATCACAGTGGAGAATCGAAATACTTTTAATAGTATTGGCTACGTAAAATGAAAGCGTTCGCATGTCTTACAGACAGTATAAGAAAGTAAGTCACGCTGTGACATGGAATGAGAATATGGACAATTTGAACTCTTTGAAAATAGTAATCGTTATAACTCATTTCTTGAGACAGTGATTACGAAATATATTAGTTTGCCTACCCAAGAATGAAAAAAGCATGTTTTGCCCCATTTATACGAAATTTGATATCCACAGAAACTGAAATTTAAAAAAATAGCATTTTGTTCATCAGGTTACTAACAGAACATGGTCTGTATTCGTTATGTAACCAAATGTAATGCATACGTCTAATATAAGTGCCTCGATACAAATTATTCAATTTACCTGTTACAAATAATTGTATCTCAATAGTCAGCGTGCGAATTGCATACAGTATTTGTTGCTAGGTAGGACAAACATTATGCTTTGTTCTACATAGCAAAATAATAATAATGCAGCTTGGATTTTGACTTTTGAAAAAGAAGACTAACGTCAAATGAAGAGAAAAGACTAAACATTTTCTTTGTTAATAAACCGACTATAGACTAAACTTAAACCCCATGTCGGTTTTAAATCAAGTTATAATACGGACCTCAATAGTTAAACCGTAGTGTAAGGACCTATTGTGAACATTCAACAAATGATTGGATCCCTTCAATGATCAGCTTTAAGCTAGACGAACGTCACAAACACACATCTTTCATACGATTTTTTTTCTTCAGTGAACTAATCTGCGGCAATAACTACTTAATTGGTCCTTCTCCAGCCCGTTGCATCAGTGCGGTAACCCTGCCATGAATATGTTTTTGCAACCAGCAACTTTTACATCTGGTGCCTACGAGGATTTCTTGTAAAGGTATACATGACTTCACCATGTATTAGCCAGAGGGTTTGAACACAAGTTTTTCGCAAGCTGAGCTCTATCAACATGATCAACAGTTCATTATCAGGTATCTGGATAAAGTAAAGTATGTGAGCATGATTACAGTACTGTTTTGTTCGAATGATGTTGAAGCTAAGTTCTTTACGTTATTATCACATTGTGTTCAGAACTTCATGAATGCATGTCTGAAATTCATCATTTCCTTAAAGTAATCATGCTTAATACATAAGTCTTCGTCAAGCATCGCGTTACACATTACTTCATTCATCTGTTACGAATAAGAGTGCAAATTGTATAGATTGCGTTTCGTTAGGTAGGGGAACCATAATTAGTCAGGCACAACGTCGGAAAACCGAGAACAGGCGACTTCTTTGAAAAAGGGGGAATAACAGACAGTGAAAATAGAGCCCTCTTCGTTCAATGCAAGGCAGTCTGTGCATAAAGCATGTGGAAAGTCAATGTGCTGTTTATATCTATTTTTTAATGATACTATGGATATATTCCTTTCAAATGTTTGCCATTTGAAGGTACTTTATCAGACTACATATTAATGGATTTTGAAGTCAAGTTGAGCCGCAGCATTTATTTGTCAAGAAACTTTCCCCATGCCTTTTGCACAATGCCTTACACTGAATGATGAGGGTGTTATTCCCTGTTTTCGAAGAATTTGCTTGATCTCGTTTTTTTCCGAATTTGTGTGTGACTGATAATGCTTGCCCTACTTAGCGACCATTTATGGTGAACAATGCAAATTGAATAATTTGTAGGGAGGGATTTAACAAAGACTTATGCATTCCATATGCATGTGTTACGTTGTGACAGCCTTGTAAACAGGCGCAGCCGCAATATATTCGGTAACATTCACACCCCACTCCGAGAACGGACGGACCCCATGCGTGTTACCAAAATGTCCGGTAAAGGGGTACTTTTCGTGCGACAAAGTCCGGCCCGAGAATTGTAAAAAAAAAAGGGGTGTAAAACTTTTCACCCGGAAATTTCTTGAAAAAGTTTTTAAAAATTATTCCGAATTTAGGGGGGTACATTGAGCATTTTTCATGATTTTAGGGTGGTCTCCAAGGCAGGAAAAGCCCGCGAAAGGGGGGTTCGGAAATGTTGGCAATCCTCAGATAGGGGGTGCTTTCAAGAAGAGGGAACACGCATATGCGTATCCTAAATAACACTGAGTGGGGGGGGGGCGGGCATTCACATAACTTCTTTTTTTCGTCATTTGCCCGACGGAAGACTCCTCCTTTTCGGCATTGGACGCGCTACGTAAAGATGACATTGTCCAAAAACTATTATGCTCAAACATGGAGTAATGGCATAGTATCCCTCCCTACATATTCGTTTTCAGCAACTAGCTGACGGAATTCACACTCACCACCCGCCAACACACATCAACTCACTAGCACTTACCTACTTACCCCTACCTATACGTTTGAGAACTAATATCAAGATAACCAATTAAGACATGTGAACAAATGATTATAATATACATGTACAAATCGGTATCTAAAAAAGTCGTTTTCAAGGTGGCTTAGCACAAACCTGACGTATTAATAGTAATACGTGTACCTCTTTCACGTCAACTACTGTCAGAAATATGTTTCTACCTAAGCATCCTTGCACCTTTGGGGAGAGAGATATAAGCAGGTCAATTGTAGTATCGCAAGGTATAATCATCAAGAGAATTACAAGGTCCAAAAGACCTTCTAGAATAGAAGAACCCATCTACCCGACCAGCATAAGGATCAAAGGAAAATTCGGAATGGGTTGGGGCATCTGGTCGACTGTATCGACATTTTGCCGAATATTTGTAACAAAGCCCCCCCCCCTACACCCTGTCTATCCGTACAAAATAAAGAAAAGAAAAGAACAACAACAACAAAAACAATTACAATTGGCAAGGTTGGTTTTGTTGCTGTTATTTCCTATAAGGAATTGGCCAAAGGTGTTTGCGCAATATTTGTTTACAGGACAAAGCAATTTCGAAACCATATACATTGGCGAATGAATACCCAGCAGCCTTTTTGGAATGTCGAACGATGAAAAGTCTAGTATAATCACAATAAGCATGTTATTTTCAATGTCTAGAGGCAAGCGTGTGCTTTGGGAGCAGCAGATGCAAGTGTAAATAGTTTCCACATTTGTTCCTTTATTAATTGAAAGCCAGCATTAAGTAGAAAATGTTAAGTTGACGTAATAAATACTAAACAGAGAATTTGTTATGATGTCAATTACCTAAAAAAGTACTGTTGAATTAAAAATATCTACACTGACATGACATTCATTTTGGTTTTGTTCTCAATTTACTACACATAGATTGTAATTAAACACAACACTAGGTTTATAAAAAAAACGTATTTGTTTTCATCGACCAACTTCAAATCGCCAGTTCTCCAAACGATAATATCACGTTCAGAAGCTCAGTTGATTGAAAAGTGTTCTTCTTTTGGAATAGGATCGGCCATGTGTTGATCAAATACCAAATACTGTCATTCACATTTTCGCTCACTTTACTTTGAGCTATCTTCTTTGTTTACTAATTTGTGTAGCCATCATCATGATCAAGGATGATGAAATGTTCTTTGCTTCAAATAACAGCTCTAAAATATTTTCTCATCCTAAAAGAGCATAAATTAATTTCAAATGTTTACACATCCGTCAGAAAATCGAATACCGAACGACTGTCACGTTAAAATGGTAACGCCCACGTCAGATAACTGCATCACTTAGTATTGACATCCACTGCGGTCATTGCTCTCATACTATCCACCAATATCCTGCTTTACTCATTTTTCTCCTCGTTGTACACAAAACGACGTGCCCTTCGTTTTGGATAATTTTTTTTACTTAATTATCCATCGACTTATCCCGAGTCTCGAACCGCAGTCCTCTGCTCCTTATCATGAAACCATCATGGCATGTGGCAAAACCTTTTCACAGTCTTCACGAGTGCGCAGTGTATGCCACTGTGCCACAGGAGTTCGTTGCGAATTGCGCATGCGTTGCCAATGTGTGACCTCACTATGACCTAAATGTAGAACAAAATAAGAAGAAAGATTGAAATGTTTGGATTCATTATGCACCGGGATGTTATATGTTTTAATTATTTTATCCTGCCAAAGATTTTTCAAATTCCCTCATTATCCTATTCTCATAATTTGATCTTCTCTATTTTAACCACTTTTTAATACCTATCTTTCACCCCGTGTCTCTGTCTCTATTTGTGTCTGTAACTCCTTAATATAATTAATATATCCCTATATAATTGCTTAAATCATTATATAAAATTATATCGCGTTAGATACCCTTCCCTTTTTATTTGTTCCAGTATAGTCTTCCCCTCGAGTGCAAAGAAATGTTCTTTATGGGAAAAACAGTACCATGCCGTGTGACTTCAAGGAAAGAGTTTTGGAAAATGTTCAACGTGCTCACTGATTAAAAGAGAGCGAAATGATGTTCACACTACATTCTGCCCGCATCACGGTGTGACTAGAATGTGTGTCTTGATATATTTCATACGATAAACGATGTGAACCCTGTGCTTTATCCAGGCAATCTTTTTATTCTGATAGAACGCTATTTTTTCTACACACGCTACACACGCTACACACTCCTATCCCGGAAGTGTTATTTTTTTTCTGCGGCACAGATTGGGGTAGGTGCGTGTTGAGCCTACGGGAAAGTTGAGGGTTAGGGTTAGGGTTAGGGTTAGGGTTAGGGTTTAATCAAGACCTCTTTTAAGAAAAAAGCCCAAATCTGTGCCGCAGACTCTACGGAATAGGAGTGTGTAGCGCCCTCACGCAAGTTACCTGATGCGAACTTTCCCATGATGATCTGTCCCGTGAAGTAGTCCCTGCTCTTGGTGTTGTAGTCCCATATGGAGACCAGTAAGCTTACGTCACTCAGTGACGACGGCGTCACATGGAAACTGAAGGTCTCGTTAAAGACGGGATCGAGAGTGTTCTTCTTGGTCGAAGTCTTCTTTGTCTTGATCACCTTTTGGCCACTAATCATCTGTAGCTTGACAAACGGATCTAAGAGACAACACAACAGACATCAAGATAAGGACACATTTTTTTGTATTACTCAGTACATACAAGTAACCAGAATGCCATATGCATGATAACGGAATAGCTTTGCCTATTTTGCTACACTTCTCCATAGAATGGATTGCTGTTATGTACCCTTTAACTCGCTTTCGATGTCATTTGGTGATTTCCAAGCTCGTGCGGTAGTCCTGTTTTGTTTTCGATGGTATGAGCTCTTTAGTAAAGCAGTTAAAGGAAATATATCAGTCTGTGTTGCTAATTGCGATGACATCATATTTCTTTGCTGTGTGCATGGAACATACCCAATTTTTTCATAGATTTAAACAAGATGGGGGTAATGACCTTATCCAATAGTTTCTTACTTCTATTCTGAAGTTTGGTAAAATAGGTAAAAATTTGTTTCCTACCATGCACTGCCACTAGCATTCATAGTTTTGTATAGCTCATATTGGTTGAAATCAAATTGATACATTAAACTATATTTTCTTTTTTTGTGATACTTCTATGATATTTTTATAAATTTTAAGTCTTTCATTATAATCTCTGTACATCTACTATTTGAGGAACGTATATATTTAACAATATTTCCCAGCTAACTTACAATTCACAATCATATTTTTTTACATTTCTTTTACATCAGTGTTTAAATATGCGATTATAAATGGTTGGTGTATTTTGCTTATCTTGATGGAAATATCGTATTTAAATGTTAGACTCATATAACCTCGGCCTCAATGATAAAGATCTCTTGAAACGTGTTTTAAAGCATCCTTGAAACCTTTTCGATGACATAATGACGTGAACAAAAAATCAAAGATCGCAATCTGGAGAGAAAAAATTGTTATGGAAGATATATTTTGTTATTACTGGGTCAGTATAAGGAGAACAATAGCGGTAACCTTGGACAATTTCAACTGACTTACATTTCTTTAAAACTATGTTCTCTTACAATAGAGATGAATACACCGTTTTCATTTGCGATTATTTGAGAAATACTCTTTTTGATAGAACTCTGAGTGGATAAAAGCACTCTCAATAATATATAGACCTTTCATATTATAGCTAAAGCATTCATTCCTCAAAGTGGATGCAAACTCGATTTACAATTCACTTTTGTATTTCCTAAAATGGACAAAACGTCCTTTCCAAGAAAAAAAAACCTTTTGCCTTACCCGAACCTCCGACTATATCAGTCTGCAACAGCTGTTTGGCTTTGATGACGTCAACATTGAGCCTACCTGCACTGGGTAGATAGTTGAGAGATAATAGTATCTCGCCACGACCGGGGTTGTTCTGGGGTAGGAAATGAGATGAATTAAATGGTCGTTAATAAACACGCTTGACTTGCGATTATGAAATTGATGCTAATGTTCGTTCGCAATGGGAAGTCGTGGACAGCTGGAGGTCAGAATTAGCATAAAAATCTGTAACGTTATATTCAGATATTAAAAATAAACTGAAATTTACAACAAATTATCTGCATACATTATAGTTTAATCCTTGCTTAAACCTCCATGGACGTAGTGGTATCCTGGCCCATGAACGAGTAGTTTACGCTCTTGTACTCTTCTTTTGATCTACGGTGGAAGTTTAAAACATGACCGCTCAGATCTTAGTTTATATCCTTCGTAAATATGACTAATGCGTGTAGCGTCTTAAAAGTAGAGAATAAGGGGCAAGCAATTGCTACGTTTTTTCTAACATGTTAACTTGTAAAGTGAACTCTCGATTGAAAATTCGGAGGTCGTGGGTTCGAACCCTCTGTCGGCACTGCTCAAAATGTTATCTGTCACGTACTAATCTACATTTGCCACTCTAGACCTAGGGGTATGAAACCGATACCGCGCTTATTGCTTATCATGGTTTATGACCTATGTAACCCTACCTGATTTGGTGGTTGAAGGGGTTTCCAGTAATGGCCCCCCTTCACCAGGTTGAGTCCCGCCAGGGGTACAGTGTGCTGTCCTATAACACAATGCCTGCTGAACTTATCAAAGTCTTGTACACTCAAAAGCAACATCCTCCGCTGCGCCTCTTGGTGAGGGATATTAAAACAGAAACTCTCCTCAAAGTTGGGATTCTGTGTTTTCCGTTTCACCGAGGTCTGTCTGGCATCTTTCTGATCAGGTAGGAGGCATACCTTGACGTAAGGGTTGGAATGTGATAAGTCTTGTTTGGAGGAGTCGTAGAACATGGGCGGTGGAAGGTCCCTTGCCTTGATGATCCGGACGTTTAATCGTCCCTCGTTCACCTCGTATTTGAGGGCGTAGTGGATCTTACCCAATTTGAACCTTGCCACTTTCTCTTCGTCCGTCAGATCTTCTTCATTTTCATTCACCTCGTATAGCTTTGGTTCTATTTTATCAGCTTCACCGAATGATGAGAGATCACTCGTATATCGTCTCGTGAGCGGCCTCGGCTGGACCGGTTCCTGGCTCATATTAGGAGGCCAAAACTCAATCGGTTTCATGTCTATGACGGGGACTGGGGTGCTGCTACCCCGTCGGTACCCCGAACTCGAATACTCCGACACCGGTGTCGAACCACGACGCGATTCACCGCACGACGATCGTCTCGAGCTGGTGGAGGCTAACCTCGAGTGTGATGTCGATGATGGGATGTCGCTCGAGTAACCAGGCGATATAGGCACGTCGACGTTGTCGTCGTCATCAAAATCGTCGGCGAGGTCTTGGAAGGATGAGTGGTGTGGACGGCAGCAATCACCGCAGCAGGCACGGCAGCAACGAGCACCACAGCATAGAGTCGCTGTTAATTGCCATAGTATACCACCACCGCGGTGCTGTATCAAAGAAAAATAAAATAACAATAGAAGTTTATATCGGTACGATTATGATAAAGATTTACCGTTTTCCACAAAAGTGATATGGTAATGAAAAAACTGCCTACTTATTTATTAAAATTCTTTCAAACGTATTCACAGTCGAAATAATACCCGACCATGAATATTTTACAAACATCTGACACCGACAATATGTATGATAAATAGCTTCATTTTACCTTAAAAGATATCTAACTCATTTTTTTATGATAGTGGAAAATTTGATGGCTCGATGCAATAATGGGCTACCCTATATTTTGATTTAAACTAGTTTTCATTAAACTCCATCTATACCCCCAATCTGTTCTTACACGTTACTGTAAAGGGACAACATTACCATTAAAAGGCTTTCGTATTTAAATGTAGATAATACATGCGGTTCATACATGTAGTTTGCAATGAAGGTCTCAGAGTAAGAGTGAATACATTATTTTTGAAGTAGACAGCTTTGTGACGCAAAAGTGTGAGTTTTGGGTACTGCATATGGTTTAAGTTGCATGAAACGTGATGTGGGCGCGTTTCTGTGCTTCAGTCGGAGAGGGAAGTGTTTTTTTTCCAAGATGTTGATACATTTGAAACATCTTGGCTGTTCATGTTACAAAATGAATGACGCATCTGAAAAGAAATAAAAGCTTTTCATGCTAAAAAGCGTGCATCTGTCCTTCGTGACAAAATAAAAGCTTATCAAATGTCACGTTGATAATAAATGTGTCTCCTTTTCTTCTGCTTGTGAGTGCAAAGCAAAATCGAAGCGTCAAAAAGGGATTTGATCCCCGCCCCTCCCCCTCTTCAACTTCAATTTCCCTTCACAGTTTATACGAGCAGCGTCAGCATTCTCGAATATAGATAGGAGCTGTGCTGTATATTTACAATGACGGTCTCATAGTGGGTTTCATGCTAAAAAGCGCGCATCATTCTGTCCTTCGTAACAAAATAAAAGGCTGTCAGATGTCACGTTAGTAATGTGTCTACTTCTCCACGGCTTGTGTGAGAGAAGAAAAATGGAAGATTAAAAATGGGCCCACCCCACCCCCTCCTCCTCTTCAACTTTACTTTCCCTTCACAGTTCACCTTTAATAGCGGCGTCAGTATTATCAAATGTAAAAATGTGCCATACTATTAATAACAATGGCGGTCTTAGAGAGGGTGCTGGGATCGTGCCCCCCTTCTGTTATGCCAGCTCTTACACACGTACACGTTGGTATAAACCACCCCTATTATCAAAGCATCCTTAATCCGCCCCTAATTAATTTTGTTCCTTTTTTATTCAGTAATAAAAACACAAGTGATTGTAATATGATGAGCAAGAAGTGAGAAAAAGAATAATAAAACAAAAAACGAATGAATCGTTAAGAATAGCTCTGTCATCTCACTATTATAGAATTATCAGTATTTTATTTTTACGTGCATATATATATTTATATATATATATATATATATATACCTAGTAATAATGAGATTCATGCATTTCCAATGACCTTCCTGTTTTTTTTAATGAAACTCGAAGAAGTCAATGTTATTATAGGAAATAAAAGTTAAAATTGTGAAAATAGAGAGATGGATCATGAAAACTGCCCTGTCCGCTTTCCCTCCCTCACTCTTTTTTTCTCTCTCTCTCTCGCTCCCTCTCACTCTCTCTCTCTCTCTGGCTGTATGTCTGTCTGTCTCTCTCTCTCTCTCTGTCCCTATCTCCGTCTCACTCTTTCTCCTTCTGTACCTACATATTTCTTTCCATCCTACTCTGTTCCTCTCTCTCTTTCTCTCTCTCTTACTCTGTTTCTCTCTTTTTTTCTTCATTTTGTTACTCTATTGTATTTATTTATCTCCGTCACTACCCCAAATCATGCATAGGTGAGTAAGCACACAATAGATTAATTAAACCCTCTCGCTTTCTTTCTCTTCCTTTCTCTGTCTATATCTCTCTAGCTGTCTCCCCTCATCACCCTCCATCATACCTCACAGACTACGCTCTTGATGACATGGAATTGAAATGATCTACTGATCGATACAACATGACTAATTCAAAGACCCCCCCCCCCCCCCCACCCTTCCTCCTCCTCCCTCCCTCGATTCCCCTCTGCTCACTAGATCTTCTCTGTCTTTTCCCACCCCTTTACCACATCTAACAGTTTACGCCCCTGGCCTAGTCCTGAGTGACGTACTGGTCGGCACAATATGATTGAATGAAAGGACCCCCCCCCCCCCCTTCTCGTCTTCTCTCTCTCTCTCTCTCTCTCTCCTTCTCTCTCTCTCTCTCTCTCTCTCTCCCTCTCTCCTTTTCTTTACCCCTTTCTCTGCCCTCCGTTTCCTATACCACATCTAACAGCTTACGCCCCTGACCTAATAATAGTCCTGAGTGACGTACTGGTCGGCACAATATGATTAATTCAAAGGACTCCGTGTGTAGTAATTCAATCATGGTTTGTCTATCTGATTAATGCATGTTCGTCTTCCTTCAGCAAAAGTAAGGACCCAAAACAAAATTTTACAGCGGTGAACAGAGAGGCTAGAGGATGGCAAGGCGGGTATGGGCAGTAGGTGGGTCGGCGAAAGTATGAAGAGAACAGAAAATGAGAAATAGCGAGATGGGGAGAGAGACGATTAAGAGAGTTATGGGAGAGCAATAGAGTGCGGGAGAAAGAGAGAGAGAAAGAGAGAGAGAGGTAAATACATAACGACTTGTCATGGTAGTACATTGGCAAAAAGACAAACACATGTGTGATGAATGAAAAACATATTTTCCGACAGAACACTTTGTCAGCTATAAATACACCAAAAGAAGGTATTTATGTATCGACTAGTACGAAGAAAGCATACACGGAAAAGAAATTCGGTTTTATTTTTTTAATATTTTTTAAATGACTACAGGTGCAGGAATTTTTTTTTTTTTTTTTAATCTTACACATTATCATGATAATGAAGGAGTAATTGGGACATTATACAGATAAGGACACTATTCAATGCCGACCCATCTCTATATTCAGTTGTAGCGCACCGAAATTGCCTAATACATATTGTCTTTCAAGCCAGTTTGCCATGATTTTCAAAACAATGTTTGATTATTTTTCATATGTTTTGTTGAATAATTTACGTCAATATTATCAGCTACGAGTTTACGTTGTATAGTATTCCCACGGATAAATATCCCACTGTAAATGTAATACTGTTGTAATGGCACATTTAACTTGTTTAAATATACATTTATCAGGGTTCATGCAATGGAACACACACTCAAGAGACGTTTGTTCTCCTGTTATTCCATCATCAAAAGCTACGCATCCCCGAAAATGCACGTAGGTTCATGTGCGTTGTACCCAAGCACATACGGCCCATGATAGAGTTTGCAAAAGCCATAGGCAAGTCTACGATTGATTGCAGTATATTCTTGAAAAGAGGAATAGATTTAACCGTCTCGTTTGCCAAAGAGTTGGAAATATCTAGATTAAAAAGGAAGAAAATGGATCGGGATAAACATATGCAAAAGTAGATGGCCCGGAGGACCTCAATTCGTGAGCAACCCTTCTCAGTAAAGGTCATATAAGTCATAACTCCACCTTCTATATCCTATCCCAGCATAGAGATTAATGCCATCCGATATCCTAGGCCATTCTCGGTGGCGTAAACCCGGTCATCATCTTATAAACAGAAGCTCCGTTTTTCAGCCTTCGGACATAGCGGATAGGAGTGTATATGCGTCGCTGAAATATCCACCCTTTAAATCTAATAAATGCTGGTGCTCCGGCCTTAAATTGCGCGCAGATTTTCTTGCCTCTAGCTCTCTTATTATATATATATTGAGTCTCTGCTAGCCGAGAGCCATCTATATGAGCCAAGGAAAACTAATACGACAGCTATCATGGGCTAAAGGGGCGCTTGGTTCCTACTTAATCCGAAACCAGGAGAGAGAGACAGAGAGAGAGGGAGAGAGAGAGATGGGATGGAGAGAGATTGATTAAATACTATTATGAAGAGGAGCACTACAGAATGAAGGTGTGAAAAATGCATAGCACGAGGGGAAAGCACACACACACTTACACTAATCGTAAGCCAGATTGACAGGCGCTAAGACTGACAGACAATACAGATATTTAGAGGAGTGTATACTAGTCGTAAATGTTCAAGTAAATTATTCTCAAAGAAATTTCTGTGAGCAACATTCTGCCACATCGAGGGCCTCTCTCTTAAATATCTTTCTTCTTCTTTTTGCCCCCTTTTCTCCATATACTTCTACGTTTTCCTTTTATTCTCCTCCTTCTTCTTCTTCTTTTTTCTTCTCCTCCCTCTCTTACTCTCTGTTCCTGTTCTGTCCCGCCTCTCTCTCTCAACATATAACTTCACACCTTTTTTTCTTTCTCAGGCATTTGTTTAGACTGTAGAAAGGATCACTGAATCGGACTGAACATGATTTGTCAGGTAATCATGTAACATAGTTATTTTAATATCCTTAGAGGCATCGTTTTAATCTTAAATCTGAGATGCAAGGCCCTACGTGTTATCAGTGTCTGTGATATGGTGTAATATTGAAGCCCTACAAAATTTGCGCTTAAAAATTTAAAAATCTTAGAGTGACCAGTTTTACCATACTCATTTCCCCCAAAAAACTGTAGTGTTATAAAAACCGTTAGGAAAACGAAAAATGAAATTTCGAATTCCAATCATAAATATCTTGATAATCAGATTTGCTTGTAAAAGTCATAGGATTCCTGACTGACCTAAAGGTTTATAATTATGATTGCAGCATTAGCTAAATCCAGGATTTTGTTTAGAATATGAGGCAAAGATACCCAATCCCTTCAATATCCTTAATACTCTAATCTCCTTGACCTAAAACTAGCACATGGTTATTGTTTCACATCTACTCAAGATAACGCACACCTTTCTCTCCCCCTCCCCCTCCTCTCCCTCCCTCTCTCTCTCTCTCTATCCCTCTATCTCTCTCCCTCCCTCATTCTCTCTCTCTC